TGGGGGGACTACAAGCATCAAAAGTGGTGTCACCAGATATTGTAAAGAATCCTAGTTTGTTAAGGGAAAGAAAATAAAGGCCCCTCCCAAAGCAAGAGGAAAGAAGAAACAGGAGCCCAAACAGTGCACATGAGGGAGTGATAGGCATTCGATTTCCTCAGGAAGTGAATTAAATCCAACCCTGCAGAGGGCAGGGGAATAGAAGGTAGGGTGGTGCACTGGTCTGGAGGGTTGGGGACTTGTCTCCTCAAATAGCGGGGGCTTCGACTTGTGGCCAGGCGGTGGCAGTTCTGGGATTCAGGACTCTGGGGACCTGGGGATGTGGGCTGGCAGAAGTAGATTTACAGGAAGATTGAGGGACTTTCTGAAGCAGAACTTATCCTGAGAGGAACTGGGCCCCTGCCAGTGACAGTGAACTGACCCAGACCACAGCTTCCATCCCCAGGCACGGTGTCTGCCCTCAGATCTGCCCCAGCCCAGCACCAGGTTCTCACAGCGAGCAGGAGCCCCCTGTAACAGCAAAAACGGCTATTTCCATAATGCTTCAAGACACTGGGGCACGATCCTTGTTGCTCTGGCTAGGCCGGGACTGGGGTGAGGCACGTGAGTGCAATATGTAAGGGGGAAACAAAAAAACTTGGAATTGGTAATATTTCATTGCAATATTTTTTCAATCAAAATTAATACAAAAGAATCCATGGTGAACAAAATATCATTTTTTTAGGTTAAGACAGGTATTAGTGGGTTTCCTTTTGCTTTGGCTCCCATGTGGAAGGGCACTGTCTGGACTTCTCTGCCAAAGGGCAGAGGGGGAGTCTTTTCCCACTTTCCCCAGGACTTGGCCAGAGTCACCCATCAGCTTTGGCATGTAGGACACTAATACTTGAGCCTGGGCTGGGGACTGGGGTGGCTGGCAGAGCAGTGGTGCCACCTAGTGGGAGACTCCGAAGCCAAGGAATGAAAGGGAATGGATGCCAGGCTGAATGAGGGACAGAGATGCC